GATTGGTTATAGATGTTTTATTTGAATCAATCAGAGAGCTTTAATACAATCATCCAATCAGGAGACAGAGTTAGGATCTGACCCTAATTCAAACTGATTGGCGCGGCTCGATGAATCAATTGCCGCTTTTAACCGTTTATTTTTCCTTTCCCCTTCGCAATGAAAATAATAAAATATATATATATATATATATATATATATATATATATATATATATATATATATATATATATATATATATATAATATTCAATATTGAATTTGTGCGTAGTAAACTAGAGTGCACAACACCAATAAATCAGTAGAGCAAATAAAAAGACAAAAACAACAAATTTTAATCTTAATCTTAAAATTTTATTTCATCGCTACACAGTGTTTCACGTACAGCGTACGATCACAGAATACTACACAGAAGTCCACATCCATTGTTTTTAGCGTAAGCTCTATTCGCCATGATTCGTCACTCAGCAAGTACCGTAAACAGAAGCAATCACCCCCCTGGACATACGCCATTTTTAGTATTTCCAGGAGGGGGACTGCTTCTGTTTACGGTACTTGCTGAGTGACGAATCATGACGAATAGAGCTTACGCTAAAAACAATGGAGATGGACTTCTGTGTAGTATTCTGTGGTACGATCATCAGGCGATTGATGTTAATTATCTCGCAATAGATTACAGCGGTTTACGCTGACGCGCTTAGATTGCTGACGCAAGCATTTAAATGACTGTGTTTACTTGCGCGCGCGCGTTTGAAATTAGAAGCTTTATAACTGTTCCTATGCCTACATTTGCTAAACAATTCAGATTTTATATTCAATGTATCATTTTTGTCCGATAATATAATCATTCTTTTTTCCTCGGTGCACAGAGAACAAACTTTCATTCCTGGGCAAACGGCTGGAACTTGCTTCATGACCGAACATTTTATTCGGAATGATTTATTCTGCGATTTAAGACCCCAAGCATATTTCGAAAGTTCCGTCTCTGTCGAATAGCGCTCATTGTTCAATGATTTCAAATGATTGCTATCTCTTAGCTTGAAAGGACCCGCCGTCATTCCTATATAATTCTTGACCACTTTCCCATTGTCGCTTGTAATCTGGGCTTTATACACAACGCTTCTCACGAGACAATTGCCGTTCAGTGGACATTTACTTTTAATTCTGCAGTTACACGATTTCGATGGAATTTGGGAGGGATTCTGATTCTTAAGAACACGCCGGTTGTGGTTTGAAATTGATGCTTTAATATTGTTCATGCATGAATAACTGACTTTGACAGAGTTTCGGTTGAAAATTTTATGTAGGATCGATGATTTTGGGAAATGCTTGTCTATTAAACGAAGGAAATTTTCTGCAACTTTCGTCTTCACGTTCTTGCTGTAGGGCGGATTGTACCAAATAATGTTTCTTGATCGGGTTCGTTTCTTGGGCTTACTACTATTTGTTTCATTGTCGTACCTTAGGTTGGTATTGAAATTGCTTTGCTTCAGTGCATCTTCGTATAAAGGGGCGGCTGAATCAAAACTCGGCTTGTCGGAGGAAAGGGAGGATATACGTTGATTAATTGATTTTGGGAGTTGTCTGATAATTGATGGTGGATGATTAGAACGGCTATCGATATAAATGGGGGGTTTCAGCCGCCCCTTTATACGAAGATGCACTGAAGCAAAGCAATTTCAATACCAACCTAAGGTACGACAATGAAACAAATAGTAGTAAGCCCAAGAAACGAACCCGAATATATATATATATATATATATATATATATATATATATATATATATATATATATATATATATATATATATATATATATATATATATATATATATATATATATATAAATCGAATAAGCATATTTGACAATGTTAAACATTTGCATAAAATTGCCTATCAAATATTATTATTAAATAATTTATTGAGGCCAAAAGAACGAATGAAAAACATAATTGTTGGATAAACATTTATTCATTCATCATAGATAGTATGCGCTTTTTCACGTATACAATGTCTTGCACGGGAAACCATAAAACCCAAACTCTTTGATATTTTGTTAATCGAGGCATATTCGAAAGGCGAACGACCACCAACTTTATAATAGCCTACGAACTCTCAAAGACGTCAAATATGCTTTCGAACGTTTTTAAACGTTTGATGCTTATTTCGCTTCCCAAGAAACACGAAAGGTTAACTTATACTAGGACATTACCCGAAATGAACGTTGAGTTGAAATGCTGAATTTGAAATTGTTAATTTTTGTGGAAAATTTGTTTTCATATAAATTGATAAGCCATGTTTCTCGATTTTTTTACTCATTATTAAAGCGTGCGCCACATTCAAACGTTTGTATCTCACGTAATATTACATGAAATTTTTAGTGCTCTATATCAAAATCTAAGTTAGCCTTTCCTCAATACAATAAAACTTTTATAGTTTTTACCTTACATGAAATCAAACACCACAAGTTATTTTTGGGGACACCCGGTATATATATATATATATATATATAATTTCGCTTACCTCAAAATTCCGCAACAGTCTGTTTCATCAGTAAAGAATCATCAGGCGGTACCGCCTGATGATTCTTTACTGATGAAACAGACTGTCGGAATTTTGAGGTAAGCGAAATTCTACATTTGCTCTATCTTTATGATATTGAGCACTCTTTGCGTTTCGTATACACAAACCTACTCGTATATATATATATATATATATATATATATATATATATATATATATATATATATATATATATATATATATATATATATATATATATATTGCAATGTACATTACCGCATCAAGGATGTAGCTCCTTTTTCATCTCTGAAACGTCCGATTGGCAAATTTTGGTCTACTTCCAGCATGGCTTTCAAGATTTTCTCACTTCCTGATAAACAAGAGCCAAGTACAAACTGTTGAAATTCTGAATGTTGCAACTCTTTTCGGAGAAATAAAGATGCGCTTTTTTCTTCCATCAGAACATCAAGAATAGCGGCTTTCCTACTCTGAGACGCTGGATAGAATATCGAATGGCCTTTGCCATAAAGATTTTCTTTGGCAAATAGAATTTCTCGACGTTCTGGTGAACATGAATCTAAATTAACAGTAGTAAAATTAATTACTGATTTTAGACTGCATAAATTTAATAGAGCTATGTTCTCCATCATGAAAATATGCTTGAAGTTGAAGACAATCGCAATCAATAATGCTCATTTTATTTTTAAAAGAGACATATTTGTTGCGAATAGACAAAATAATGTAAAATATATCTTATTAATATTGTTACGTACATATCTCCAACATTTCTTTAATAATTTCAGCTTGACCTTTTAATGCTGCAAGATAAATTGGTGATTCTCCTTGGGCGTTTCTTTTTTCGATGTCTGGTTTCTTTTCCGGTTCCTTTATCAGCCATTTAGCTACTTCTTCGTAGTCGTTTTGAATGGCAATTAGCAAGGGCGTGGATTCTTGGGATTCAGTTGGCTCATCCACGAGGTAATTCATTAAGTCTCCATGTTTCTCAGCAATTCTAATAGCTGCCCAGTTACATTCCTTAACAATTCTAAAAAACGGAGAGCCTGTTCTATGCCATGTGACTTGCGTTCGAGACGAATTAGTGAGTTGTTCGTAAGCGCCACATAAGTATTCAAAGCAATTTACAGAACACTGATATACTGCCCATGACATATATCCGCACGCTATCTCGGTTAATCTAGAAGAATGACCTAAAGAAAAGTTAATAAAAGAACGTTTCATTTAATTAAGGTAGCAAAATATTGAGGATGCATGGGATCTTATAACCAGAAGTTCAGGCCCTAATCATAGAATAGGGCCTAACACAAAACCTATCTAAATTGTGGGATTCCCGTCCATCTGGTGGACGGGAAATCTGATTAGTTGATCAGCATCATGAAGGATTTTGATTGGTTGCAAGTTCAAATAAACAACAGTTTTAGAAATAGCTCGGTCAAGGTCTTTAATCTATGGTTAAGGGCTCAAGGCGACAATTAATATAATGGTTAAACGCACGTAACAAATTCCATTGTCGATTTCTTCGAATTTCTTTTCTTTTATGCATTATGGCAGAAAATAAATCAAACAAACAGTATTTTGAAAGGGCTTTATCAAAATCTTTGACGAATTTTGGACTCACGACGCTGAAAGAAAAGCCAAACTATAGTCATGTATTCGAAAGCTTGTTGTTGACAGCCAAGATGTTCTGCCAACTGGCTTCGCCGGCCAAAGTCTTATATTTTTAATATGAGGTCCTACCGGCGTTGTTTTCTGAGATACATTGCCTTCTTCGTGGTACGATTGAGAATTTCATTGTTGCTGTTGTTAGCCCGTTTATTAGAGTGTATCCGCGTCCAGCAAGTTGAGACCTTGAGAAAGATTGGCAGTCAAGCCGTGCACAGAACTCACTATTTAAATCTTTGTTTGCTGTTCGGTTAAATAGAGAAACTGACTCTTAATTATATAAAAGTAGCCTATACCTTGAATTTTTAAGTTTAATTAAAAAGCAAAATGCACACCCTGCGGACATGTTCATAAGAATATAATTTTTTTTTGTGTAACGAAATCTACAACATTTGTCAAACATATTGCATGTTGTGTCTAAAAATAACATGTGGGTGTCCCACGGTCCAGACAGGTTTTGTGTCAGGCCCTATTTAAAATTAGGGCCTGAACTTCAGGTTAGGGATCTTATCACAAATATGCCTGCCCAGCGTTCAAATTTTGAATTTTGTCTTTTATTTAACTTTAGCATGCACAATGATAAATCACGTCAAGGAATGGAATTAATTATTTTAATTCTTGATTAATAATTAATTTTAATAATTTTTAATTGCGCACAAAACTTTAACGTCTCCATTTGCATGTTATACGTGCCATGTTTACAATGAAAACTTTGACTAATCATATTGCAAGGCTTTGGTAGCCACACTTCTTAAATGTAATAACAATTTGAAAAGTATGTCATGCATGCAGTTACAAATTTTTAATAAAAATATTGGCTTGTTTATATTGGCTATGATATGGGTGATCAGAAGCGATATTGTAATTTAGTATAAACCTGCTAGTATAGGCTATCATCTAGCGTGCGTTCTGATTGGCTACGCTACTATCAGGCTATTAGTGATATAGCCTACTATTGGCAACAAGCGGCGAAGGGCGCGAGAGGCAATGGCGGTTTTTTAAGTATTAAAAGCTGAATTTAAAGGGAAAAACGTATCAAAATGGCCTAGTTTTGGTTCTGGATTACACACAAACAAAGACTCTTGGAAATTGCTGACACATACGGTAAATTCTCAAATTTTCTTGTAGCTTTGAACATGAAAATGACAGGCGATTTTTTAAATATATGCACAATGTGTGTTAATATTCGAAGTAGCATCGTTGAAATTTAACAATTGTTTGTAGCTACTTAACCCTATTTGCTCAACCTTTTTAATGAGTGCTTATTTTAAATGCGAATGCATGTATTTGGTTATCATTTTAAAACGTTTTTTTCGTTTATTAAAATGTCGCGATTTTGGCAGAGTTTCTTTTCCGCCTTTTTAGGGACTGGTCATAAAGTAACTGCTAGGGTGGCCTTGAGGTAGCTAAATCACAAATTTTGCCAATAAGTTTGATGACCCAACTTAGAATGTACATAAAAAATTCAAAGCCCATCCAATCTTACCAAATTTATTTCATGACCAACCCACCGAATCTAAAGTGGGAAAATATACTTTTATAATAAAACAAACTTGCAGGTATGAACATTGTAAATATAAAACCGGCACTGTATTGACATACATAATTCCACCAAGCTTGATCAACACATTCATCACCAATTACGATACTGAGCTGCTCGATCTCCAGTTGGTTGTATTCACTTCTTGTTATTGTATAAAAACAAAGTACTGGCTTCAACAGCATAATTTCCATTTGATAATTTGGGTAGTTTTGTTTAATTTTATTATAAATATCTTTATCTAATATATAATTAACATGGGTTTTTGTCTGGTGGCCCAACCGTGGACATACCAAAAAATTGGCGGCCCATCGAAACTTCCCAAAAATTTTCTATGGCCCATCCCAAATCATACCAGCCCACCCTAGCAGTTACTTTGTGACCGGTCCCTTAATCGAGTTTTTCGAATAAATTTTCAATCTAAACTTTTGTGTATGCATACCAGATGATGCATGGAAATGGTTTGCCTTTTTACTTTTCCAGATAATTTGAAGATTTTAAAGACATTCGGATTCTTTTGTGTGCATTTTTATTCGGCTTTTTAATGTAAATTTGTATAGGTAATCATGCGATTGCGAGTACAATTAGGGATTAATAGTACAAGTGATGTTTGGAAATTTTGCCAAAATTGGACGAGCCGCCGGGGCGAGTCCAATTTGGCAAATTTCCAAACATCACGAGTACTATTAATCCCTAATTGTACGAGCAACATCGCATGATTACTTGTTTATTATTAGCATGGAAAAATTGGATAGTATTACGTACTTCTCAATGTCAACATCATATTCTCTCGCCAAAGCCCAGTCCTGCCAGACTTTCAACTAAAATTTGGTGCTTTTGTTGGATTTTCATTTAGTTCTTTTGTTCAAGCAAAATTTTGTACTTTTGTTCGTATTTTCATCTAGTTCCTCTGGGGCAATTTCATTTCACATTTGTGTTTAAAATACCTTTTCGCCATTTTGTTTGTTTTGGGAAAATCATTTTGTCATGCTAATAATAATGTAAAGGTAAACATGCGATGGCGAGTACAATTAGGGATTAATAGTACGAGTGATGTTTGGAAATTTGGCCAAAATTGAACGAGCCGCCGTGGCGAGTCCAATTTGGCAAATTTCCAAATATCACGAGCACGTCGAGCAGGCTAATGTTACGAACGTAGCTATATCTAAATAGTATAAAAATAGTTCAATTTGCACCCCAGGTAATTATAGATACTAGGTACGTCAAATGGGGAGATAATGAGCAATTTTGTTGCAAAACGCAGTTAAAGTATATATCATTTCGGACATGTGTAAAAGTGTCAATTATCTGTCCATTAGGCAAGATAAATAATTTGTCAAACTATCAAAGTTGGGCGATAACCTTGCATGCTAGCCTGTTGTGTTTACATAATTCAAAGTCCAAGGCTGGCCCTTCATTGACCGTGAATGAGTGCACGCTTAGGGCATTTCTGTCAATCATTCTTCGGTATATTTTGCGCGGTTGAGTAATTATAACATGACGTCATCAAAATCTTGGTTCATTAAAATTGTATGTAAATTTAGTTTAGTAGGTAAAGTAAGGTTCACATAGGTATAGGTTGAAGATTTTACTATGATATTTTGATAAGTACTTGAAGTTGTGAACATAATTATTTTAACATTGATCGATTGAACAGCGAACCAACCCGACAAGTGCGACAACGCCTTAAATAAACAGAATTTGAGGTCTGGAACGAACTACCAACGCCAACCCACACTTTTAAACCTCATCGTTGATTGGCTGGATACAAATCACACCACTTGCTACATCACGTGTACAAAGATCCCCTCAACCGTTAGTATAAAAGGGCGTGCACAACCGAAATTCGTCAGTAGACGTAGACTTAATAAAACTTAACTGATGAAAAGTTACGAAGACTCAAAACGAAATAGCACGGACAAAGAAGACAAATTAAAGACAACGAAGATTTAAAGGCTGAAGTGAACTATAAGGAAACCACTACAACAAATCGAACGTGAACACGAAGGAACGAACAGTATTGAACATTTAAGAACTGATAGTTATTTAAAATTGTTGTAATGATTCACTACCTATAAATAAAGCCTCCTAATACTACTATTAATCCCTAATTGTACGAGCAACATCGCATGATTACTTGTTTATTATTGGCATGACAAAATTCGATACTTATCAATGTCAACATCGTATTATCTCGCTAAAGCCCAGTCCTGCCAGGCTTTCAACCAAAATCTGGTGCTTTTGTTCGTATTTTCATTTAGTTCTTTTGTTAATAAAGCAAAAGTTGGTGGTTTTGTTTGTGTTTTGATCTTGTTCTTCTAGGACAATTTCATTTCACATTTGTGTTTAAAGAAGGTCATTAATTGTACTGCAGTACAATTAATGATGGTATTAGAACGAATAGGAGTGTTATTAATGCCATAATCATACGAGTGATTACAAAATCAACCGACCGCGTAGCGGGAGGTTGATTTGTTAATCACAAGTATGATTATGGCATTTATTTTTCCAAAACAAACAAAATGGCGGAAAGGTATTTTAAACACAAATGTGAAATGAAATTGTCCTAGGGGAACTAGATGAAAATACGAACAAAAGAACCAAATTTTGCGTTAGCAAAAGAACTAAATGAAAATACGAACAATTGCTCGTACAATTAGGGAATAATAGTACTCGTGATGTTTGAAATTTACCAAATTGGACTCGCCCCGGCGGCTCGTCCAATTTTGGACAAAATTCCAAACATCACTCGTACTACTAATCCCTAATTGTACTCGCCATCGCATGATTACCTATACTAATAGCACGACTTAATTCGTTCTATCAGTTATTAATTATTTATCTTCTGTAATCGAACTGTTTAAGCACAAAAATACAATTTGTTGAAATTCAATATAATTATTAAATTTCTGTCATGACAATTTTTAGTGAAATAGTACAATGTTGAAATAAATTTATTCTAATCAAATTAACATATTATGAACTCCCGGGTATTATTTCCGGTCTAATCACATGACAACATTGTTTGAATTTAATTATTGAACAGTCAACACACAATTGGGAAGCCATATGTTGCAAGTTTATAACGTGTTCAAAATGGTGTTTAATTCAGTTTAATCTGAATCTGAGTCAAATATAATCGCTCGAGGTCTTTTTCTGGTAGCTTAAATAATGTTCACCGTCTGCTTTCCAATATTAAAAATACAGTTGTTGTAGGCAATATTAACCGGATAATTTTCTTGTGTTGGTTAATATACTCAGGTGAATAAGATGCTTGTGATGTTACTCGGAGTGCATATCCACACCGAGCAGGCTTGAAAAATATACCTGACCACGGTGGGAATCGAACCTACGACCTTTGGAATACTAGCCCAATATTAACCGGAGCTAGCGATGAGGAAACTGGGTTTTTGGCAGACACAAGTGGGACATCGTGGGCAACACTGGGGGGAATACTCAACAAACCTTCTTGGTGAAGGATAGCGTTGGAGGTGACCGGACAGTTTGCCGAAAGACTCTTTGCCGAAAGACATTTTGCGGAAAGACATTTTGCCGAACGGTCAGTTTGCCGAACGGACAGTTTGCCGAAAATAGAGATACCTTTTGAACTTTATAGGTTCGCATACACGCTAATATTTCCTTAGTCGATTTTGATGACAGAAGCTGTGATAAGTGAAGTATAGATTCGTTTTATATTCTTTCCAGTTTTTGACAAATTTAATTACCGAAATTTTGCAATATAAAGAATATTATCATTCAACATCATTGATGAAAGCGATTTTTCCGAAAACTGTGAATGTTTTCCTTGATTCTCGAAGCGAAATTCTTTGTATACGCTTGTTTGTTTACGACCTGACGTCAAAACACGTTCCTAACAAATGAGTCATCCGCTGCCCAAAGAAGCTTCTAATAGTCAATATGGTTATGTACTGCTAACGACCATTATGCACTGCTAATTACCATATAAGAGTTCATGATTTTTTTCTGTGTTGGTGTAATCTACTCAGGTGAATATGATGTGCCAAATCATTTGCGAGTCTATACGGCAATTCTATATATGATACAAATATCACTAGACCAAAAAATAGCTACGAAACAATGTTTTTAATCTTTTTTATAATATACACTGTCATCTGTAAAACATTTGCAAAATTGCATACAAACGTTTAAAAAGTTGTTTACTTCTCAAGAAAACGTTCACGTTTTTAGTCTTGTTTCTGCAAGGTTAAAGTGATTATATGTAAACAGAAAAATATTTCAGTTTCATAGCCTAATTGTTCATTTTTAGCAAAAAGTACAAAACCAAATATGAAACAAAAAACACGTCCACCTGTTAATAGGCTGTTACAGCTCATAGATTGGGTAAACGGCAGGATTCAATAGCTGTTATCGTAATTGAATACGTCTATGCTGCGGACCAGCGGTATCTGCATTATTTTAACATCAAGACGAGGCTATAGGGTCATGTCTTGTGTTTTTTTTACCCTTTAGCCTCGTTTTCGTGCGTACTTCCACTGAGATACCGCTGGTTTACCACAGCGGCGTATTCAATTACGATAACAGCTATTAGCTTCAACCTTGTTTTCATCGATTTGATCGTTCACAATAATCCTTGGCTGTCCATGGCACTCAAATAAATCGAAAAGTTGACAAAAACAAAAGAGTAAAAACAACATTGCCGATCGATTTTGCTGAATGAAATCTCGTTCTGCGCCCGCGTACAATTTTTTACTAGTCAGCGACGCTTTTCAATAAGGGGAATTTCTCGAGTTACACGAGGCTATTTTCTAACTTTATTTGCATTTTACTCATTAGTTTCATCGGTGACTTATCTTCAAATTTTGACCACGAATTTATTTTGCGGTAAATTTTATAAATTTCAATTTTTAAAAAATCTTTAGTGTGGAAATTTCGCAATAAAATTTTCGCTTTTAAAAAACCACACACTACAGAATTTTTTTAAACTTTCACCACAGTTGCGGAGCATCATTCCCTATTGATATATGAAATATAAAAGATAGGTCACCGACATCGTTTTTGAGATAGCGGCACATTTATGGGTTAAATTGGAAGGTTTTATGCTGTCGTCATGTTGCCATGGGAACATTGACGTTGTCGAAATCTAGTTCGAAATATTCCTTAGATGACCAATATTGCCACCAAGTCGAAAATAATTCGCGTTCTGCACGAATAAGCCTGTTTTGCGGAATTATTGCTTAAACAAGAATAACTGCAGGGAGCCACCTTAATTCAAGATATAAAACATCGCACATGTATAATTTATATATTTTCATATTCGAAAAGTTTTGTTTTAGAACTCGTGTATAACCGCAACCCACTACACTGCAGGCTTGCATTGCCCGAATCGCAAACGAAGTTTGCTTCGGAAAACGATGTGCACCCGAGGGAGGGACAAAAGAAAATTGAGAAAGGGAAGAAATTTCCAATATTGCACCGTTGCATGTGCACTGCAACAACTAGTGACGGAAGTGGCGTACAGGAAGTGATTCCACTTAAATTTCGTTGCTAATTATATTCTGTTTTTTTAAAGATAAAAACAACAGGAGCGGAGTGAAATTTAAATATTTATTTTTTTGAATGGACAGATCTATTCTTAAACGACACGCGTCCCAAATAGAAATAAACAATAAATCTAAAGTTGTACAACAGAGAAAATCATGTTATTCTTTCAAATTGGTAAGACTTTGATCATGAAAATAATTGAACACTATCTATAATATTAATTTAAAACCGTATAAAAACGTTTTTTCTCGTGAATGACTGAACTTAAAACTTATACACTAAACATGTTGTTGTAAACATAATTGTTCCACTCAGGTTAAAACTTTTTAGTTTAGTTGTTCCATCAATGTATAAACTTCTTCGATATTTTGGTCTTATCCACAGTATATTAAGCTAAACGGGCTTCGTACAACCGCCCCCAGAAACATCATGTTCACCTGAGTACATATTAAACATCAACACACAAAAATCATATAGTACTCCAATTTGAACGTGAAAACACATGTAATATATAGAGAATAATACATGGGTGCTTGGAAATACCAGATCTATTTCGAGTGTTGAACATGATATCTCACGAGTGCGCGCAGCGAACGAGTGAGATATCATGTTAAATTAAACACGAGAAATAAATCTGGTATTTCCAAGCACCCATGTATTTTTCTGTTTATTATATAAAGGACAGTCTTTGAAAAGCGATAATATTTCCAGAAAAGCGATAATTGAAAAGCGACAATTTTCACATGTGAGATTTTCATGAACAATTCTCACATGTGAGATTATCACTTTATCAGTGGTCGAAATCTCTATAAAGCACTATACTTTATATAATAAATTATAATACCACTCTTACCTTTTATTATCACCATTTATATATAGGTTGCAATCAATTCTATGTCAAAATTGTCAATACAAAAACCAAAACAAAGTTCGCAGCTGTCAAATATATGTTCGAGCAAAGCGCTTTACCCGCGTAAAAGCGCTTCCTGTCATGCGCAATTCAACACTTTCGTCACTTCCGTCACTAGTTGTTGCGGTGCACATCATACGAAAATAGCGAAATGTATACCAGCATTTTATTCGTTATGTTCGTAGGTTTAACTACTATTTTCCCAGATTTCTTTCGTTAAATATTGAGACTATATCCTTTCTATGTCGTGTGCATAATATGGTGTGTTTCTGTAGAATTTTAAGCGAATTATGATGTTTCGAAAATGATGTCCGAATTCTAAATTTGGAAGTTTCATCCCTTTCATTAGATTTAGCTTGTAAACAATCTAGTGTAAGCGTGCGCGCCTGCAGTAATTTGGCGTGCGGTCGACGTCCAAGTTATATTACTTCATCTAACCTGTATAATATATAGTAGTTATTTAATGATATTTTTGCCTTTTTTGTGCTGCAAAAAAATTATTTTTTAAATAACAAGGTCAGTTCTTCAGCCCCCTGCGCATTCGTTGGATGCAAATGCAATTTACTGTCTGACTTGAATGGGGACAACTGATGTATCGTGGAAGACGAAAAATTAAAATGTGGAGTTCCGCAAGGTTCTATTTTAGGCCCATTATTTTTTATTTTATATATCAATGATCTACCGAATGCATTAGAACTGTCAAAATCTTATATTTTTGCTGATGACACTAGTATATATTATTCAAATTCGGATATCAAGCAACTTGAATTTGTTTTGAACAGTGAACTTCGAAAGCTGGATATCTGGATGAAGTCAAATAAATTGTCTGTGAACATCAGTAAAACAAACTATATCATTTTTCGGCCGAGACAAAAGAAAGTTAATTTAAATCTAGTTATCCTATATAACAATCAAATGATCACCCAAAAACAATACATAAAATTTTTAGGAGTATATATAGACGAACATTTGTCATGGAAGGAACATATTAATTATATTTGCAATAAAATCGCCAAGTCTGTTGGAATTATTTACCGATCACTATATCTACTGTCATCCGCAACAAGATTATCCTTGTACTACACACTTAAATATCCCTATCTTTCTTATTGTAATATTGTATGGTCTTCCACTTATGTAACCAACCTCAATAGAATTCTCCTTTTACAAAAACGAGCTGTACGTATTCTTACAAATTCCGAATACCGTGCACACTCTGATCCACTTTTTAAACAACTCAAAATATTGGATATATTTAAGCTAAATACATTTCACATTGGCAAGTTTATGTTTTTATATCATCATTGCATGTTGCCAACATGCTTTGATAATCTGTTTACAATAAACAATCAAATACATGGTTATAACACCAGATCTGCCGGTAACTATAGATCTCATGCTTGTCGAACTAAAATTAAGCAGTTCACCATCTTATACTCAGGACCGAATATTTGGAATTCTTTACCTACAAATATAACTGCGATAAACACAATCTCGTCTTTCAAGATGCAACTTCGTAATTTTCTGCTTAACGAATAAGGAACAGCTAACTCTGATCAATATGCTACGACCATGTTTTATCGAATATTCAGTAACAATATATAAAATTATTGGAAAATCTATTATATATTTTCGTAAATTTTCTCTCTTATTATAAACTTCATTATGTTTCAATTCTATTATATGTGTCTGTAATTTAATTTCAATTTTATATTATATATGTCTGTAACCCTAAATTATACCGATTAATTAAATATTTAACTTTGAATTTTTGAGATGAGGTGGCCTCTTTACACAAGCTCTAAGCTTCTTGAGGTCTCCTCGCCGACTTTATTTTATTAATATCTTGTACATAGCTAACAGTCTTTCTTTTGTTTTGGCAAATAAATCAATCAATCACGATACAGTCGAGGCAACTGAGGTTGTTGTTCGCGAGCTAACGCATTTTAACCACTGATGTTATGAGACAGTTCCCTGCGTTCTTCCCCGGTGATTACGACGTAATCATTTAGAGATACCTCTGATGCATAATCGGTAATTTCCTTGATCTTATAGCGTGGTTGTCCAGCAGATTTCAGCTTTTGTACAACTGTTTTTCCCGTGCTGTGATTTGTCAACTTTTTCGCTGTTGAGCTCTCGAGCGACGAAGTCATTTCATTCTTGCATTATTTTGCCAACTGTGTTCTGGCCCATTCGTACCTTGGTATACCAAACATCGTCATTTTTTGGACATTAGATTATTGTCAGATACAGAGGGCCTTCGTTTCGCATCGCCTGAGGGCGTTTGGAGAGCCATAACTTATAAATGCTTTACTGGATCTCGAAATCCGCCATCAGTGCTCCACATAACTTGCTTCGTCGTTCTTTCAGGGCCCCTATGGATACCAGCCTAGTGCTGAATGGGCCACCCTGCTAAAATAAAGTTATCTTATCTTATCTTATCTTTTTGCGAATCGAAGGCCTCCTCTTCACGTATTTTGGTGGTATTTTCATTGAACACTATAGATTTCGAGCCATGCGTCGTTGTGGTCCTGTCGTCCTCGCAAACCCATTTGCTCCGAAAGACGCTTGAAATTTGCATTTATCAACGCGACTGGCGAATGATTTCCGAGTGAACCGTTTTTCCACAGCAATTCCTCTTCGCTTTGGTTGAGTGCTTTTTGGTTTGTTGGGACGTTTACCCATGCCTTGCTCATTGCTGTAGGAGACTTGCTGCTTTAACGTTGAGTGTCTTCATAGACTGATGAAATTGCCTTGAAGAAATTATACTTTCGCCATAATATTTGTCACGTAAGTAGCGATCAATTGCATCTTGCATCACGCGAATGCTTTCTGGCTCCTTGTCGGCTCCATTCACCTTTCTAACCTCGCCATAAAATTTGCTGAGAAGCTGATCCAATTGGTTCATCAGGAAAAAGTTCAATTGGCTGACTTATTTCACTAACTGAACACCAATTTGACCAGATATTCATCCAGGTTTTTGATGAGCGCTCCGTGTTAACTTTAACGTTTGAGTTTTCAACCTCCTCAATATCGTTTTTCGGTTAAATTAGGGAACATGGTTTGGTGTCTTCTCCTGGAAGAACAGGTTGGTCATTTTTGTCAGAAAACATATCACTTAAAATGTCAAAATTTTCAAAATTTGTGAATCCCTCCACGGTTAATTTTTTTACAGAAATAAAGAAAATAAAATTCAAAGTTTGTATCCTGAACGCTGATTGGCTAATTGTAAATACTAGACTGATTGTCATTGGCTGTAGACAAGGGTGCAATTGCAGCTCAGTAAAGGGTGCGATTAATGCTCAAATCGCACTCCTATAAGCCAATGAAATTGCAGTATTTGCCACTGATTACAGAAGATAAATAATTAATGAAATAATTGTACTCTTTTCAACAAATCAGCATCCAGTAATTTTGTCATGTTAATAATAAATTTAGTAACAATTCGGGAAGCCATTTTGTGTTTGAAATTTCGGACTTTTTAAGCCTTATTTCCTTAATTCTTTTAAATAGCAAAACTTTGCTGCTATATAACGACCTGTTATTATTATATTGTTTTACGACATATTTTTAAACTTTTTAAAACTCAGTAATCGTATTTTACAAGTCATTTCTGGGAAGGAAGCCATTTAATTAACTCATTCGTTAAAAAGTTATAATTGTACATAAAAATCAAGTTAAAAATTCAGTTTTCTTTATGTGGTTTATACTAAAACAATTAGTTAACTCAGCCGCGTTGTCTCTGAGCAAATAGTAAACTCGACTAACCGCTCATAGACAACCCGGATTCGTTGTTTAATTGTTAAATAATTGAATAAATCTGAATTTAAAACTTACGCAAAACACATTTGCAGTATTAACAAAGAAGCTTAACATGTATTTATCTTGCGAATACACTACTAACTTTAGCGCGCTGACTTTATTAATATGGACAACACCTTGCGATGTGACTGGTCAAAACGTTGGAACTCTTCAATGTAAACATTGGACGCAGCACATAGAAACGTAAAGTTTAGTGCTCGTAACATGCACGTATAATAAAACTTTTTTATAGTCCAAGCTTTAGCAAAAATCGTAGTATTTGATATTCGTAAAAATTCCCCCATCAGTAGTCGTAACCTTGATACCTATACTTTCATTAATCTCGGATCGTCGGTCGCTTTTTACAGATCTAGACCCGATTTTGACAGTATTAGTCGAAAAATTCAAATATTCCCATGCAGACACATATATAGTCGGGTATGCGTTATTGTTTGATGTTAATTAAAATATTATTAAATTGACATATATCCAATTCCCCGAGGCTTAAGAAGGACAGTTATTTTTCCGGATACCTAGTACGTCTTCCGTACCTTGTATTTTACATTTTTCTGGTTTATTGGCGCACTTTATGGCCAGAAAATTGAACTTGCTTTAACTGAACAACATACCTTCTTCGATAATCTTTTTTAGTCTTTCAACATCGTCCTCCATTATAGCTTTCTCTAAATCGTTCCTAAGTATTTTACTGTCTTCCATCAAAACTTCTGATTCATCTGGCGGGCATTCTTCTAACAAATAGATTGTGAGAGTTTCAAATTACAAAATTGGGCATATCCATGGCATTGTTAACTCTTGGTTTCATATCAGCCTAAATGTTATTGCATGTGAGATGGTTATAATGGACGAGTTTGAGAAGAATAGGTCGAGAAGATTTTCTGAGCCTTTTTTTTGTTGAGGCTTGTCGATAAGTTGTTCTCAACTCATTCTAGCTTCTCAATTCGGCACTGACGGCAAAGCTTAGTTAAGCAATCGACGTTTATGCCAACAAGACCGTCAACAAAGATTGGTATAGCGTGTAAGGAAACAAACTGAATCTTGTGTTTTGTATGTATAAATCTTTATTAAAATATTAAAAGCAACACCTCACAACAAACGTGCGGGCTTACAATTTGCACTTACTTATCAATAATTATTATACTAATTACTATATTAGTATTGATATTATTCATTAATAGAGCTAAATACCATTATTATAATGTTTAGTGTAGTTCCTAAGATGTTAATTTCTAATTTAAAAAATATCATATGAAGTTAAAAAGACATCTATTAAGGAACACTCTTTTAAACCTTTCTGTTCGAACTCTCGGTAGTTCATACTCATGTCCGCGATTGCGTAATTCTAATTGACGACTAGGAGGCAGCAAAACTTGCAGGGCATGGTTGGGATCCGTAGTTATTTTCTCCCATAAATCTCTGTCTTTATTGTTTAATATATCAACAATCGATACCTGATACATAAGATATCCATACCTATATGCACGTTTTAAAAGTTTATCTACCTGACTAAGATACTTGAATACGACGCACATCCCCAGACCTCTATACCAAAAACTAATATTGATAAAATAAGACTATGGAACAGAAGATCCAGCTCTTTCCTAGAAAACCCGTAGTATTTGCAAATCCGAATAATGTACATTCTGCTACAGGCTTTACTCATTAATTCATCTAGATGCATGTCCCACATGGAAGGATTCTCTTGAAACGTTACACCAAGTATCTTCAATCAACTTTTACGAACAATCATAGGCAGAGGCGCAGGAAGTGGCCGGGTTATCTTGCCGCGAATGACCATCTCCCACGTTTTTATAGTTACGTTTCATGCGATTTGTTTCCGCCCAGTTGATAATATTGTTTGTTTCCATATAAAAGACGTCACTATCATCTGTGACCTTAATCCCTAGATTTATGTCATCTGCAAATTTAACAATTAAGTTTGAAGCTTGAACAGGACGGATATCATTAATCATTATAGAAAACAGTATTTGACCTAATACTGTTCCTTGAGGAACTCCACGATTTATAGGCAGATATTCTTTTTTAACGCCATCAACAACGACTCGTTGATACCTATTGGTTAGGAAATTGATGATCCAATTGGTAACATAAGGACTAATAGGAAGCTTCTTCAGCTTATTGCATAAAATCTCGTCCGGTACCGTATCAAAAGCTTTCCTGAAATCAAAAGAACAGACGCGTACCATACTAGCATTACCATTCAACCATTCCATCCAGGTATGTACGTTGCGCTTTTATTAGGGCCATTGTAGAGCTATAACCTCTTTTATATGCACACTGATCTTTATGGATGGCATTTTCCATCACCTGGACTAATTCAGTTGTATAGATTGCTCTTTCAAAAAGGCGGACAATTATATTAGTCAACGAAATGGGTCGTAATTGGTTTGATTCTGTCAGAGGAGATTCTTTAGGGACAGATAAAAGATTTGCTAGTTTCCAACTGTCAGGAACAATGCCCAGTTTGATTGAGCTGTTAAAAATGATGGTTATCATAGGCGCAATATCATATGCATAGGTGTTCCAAAACCAATGTGGTAACTCATCTGGACCCGAGGTGGTTAGTTTCTGATTTAATAGTAGTTTACAAACAGTATGGACGGATAATTCAGGTACTCTTGTGCCACGGGGAATAGGGAGAGGTTGAGGG